CTTGGAAGGGGCTCTGTACTTAGGATTTAATGTTCTGCGGCATTCTTGAAATTCTTAGTAATTTTATCTTTTATTTTGTGGTTTGTAAGTGAAATCCTGTGGAACAATGGGGCATTTGCCAGAGGCTTGGAGCGTTGATTCATGCTTGGTTCCACTTCCTGTTGCCTATCTACCTCCCTGGGATGTGTTCTCCACTGCCTGCTCTTGGCACCTGTGCCCCCAGCCTCCTTTTCCTGCCTTGCCTTCCTCCTCCCGGGTTAGCAGCTGGGTTGCATTGGTGGGGAGGGGAGCCGGCCATGGGCACGGGGAGGATTGGGTTCAGATACATGTCTTGAATGTCTCAGAGTAAGACATGGGGGTGGACATCCCTACCACGCTGGAAGCACCATGGTGCATTCAGTGGATGGCTCAATAGGGCCTCTTACCTACCTTTAACCCAGATACCAAGTCAAGAACAGCATAGAAAATGGCAACATTCTTATGGCCCACTGTGGTAAATAGTGAAGGTGGTACTGGCTAGCCTTGAGTCCCACTCAGTAGCCCCAAGAGCTGAAGGCAGTTCAACCCTGGACTAAAGTAGGTAGAGCTTCTCTCTTGGTCCTATGTTCCCTTTTCTGCCCCATGCCACTTGGTCCCACTCTTCCCTACAGGGCAAGGGGACATACCTGACAAAGTCCCCAGCCCTCCTTCAGGATCAGTTGCTTTTTTTCCCAAGTCCATCACAGACAAATGTGTGGTCTTACTGCCATGGCTAATACCCAGCTCACACCCCCTTGGGACTCACTCTGTGAGTCTGACAGCGCTGGAACTGGTCTATCTCTTGTTGAATCAGAGAAGCTCAGTCACACAAGTTCATCCTCTGATGTTCCAGTAATGTCAAGTGCCATAGACATTTCTAAATGCTTGCATTCAGTTTTTATTCTTAAGCCACAGCAGACCAGTAACAACAGTTTGGTCCCTGGGTCACACTGAGAAGCTCTGTTCTAGATTCTTCTGTGGGTGCTGGGACCCTGGAATTACCAGCTCAAATCGCGCCAAGCCTGCTTCCAGGTTTTTCATGGGCCTCTTCTCCTGATTCATTCTCCAGGTTAGCCTCCCATGGGCCACGGGGCAACTAGAGATGGAGATTGAATATGTGTGCTGCGGGGGGTGGGGGAGGGTTCATATACATGTATTCGAGGCCCTTTAGGTATAGGATGGAGGGAAGATGGGAAAAGACAGGGGGTAGGCTGCCAGCTGATGGAGGAAGGGCGCCCCAAAGATGTGGGGCAAGCCGAGCTGAAAGAATGCATGTCTCTGCACATCTGGAACACGTCCACAGTGCCTCGACATACTATAGCCTGCCAGTCAGGAAACTCCAGGCCCGCCATTTTCTATTTCCGATATTTTGATTTCTGATCTCTGTCCCATTGCCACAGTTGAAAGCCTCTTAGCATTTTGCAGAACAGGTGGGTGCCCTGTGGATGTGTGTGTTCTTTTGGATCACTGCTTCCTCAGCCGTGTTGGGACTGTGGCCTCACCAGCTCTGCCTAGTCAACCAGCCTTCCCTCTCTTTGTACATCAGACCTGCTGCACTCTGATGCGTGCCTCATGGCAAGTCAGTTCTCAACGCTCTGAGAAAGGATTTTGTTTGTTTTCCTTAAGTTTGAATAAAAGCAAACCCAGGCTAACACCCCAAAAGAAAGGCACATGACTTGACAATTTAAAAAAAGCGCCACATAATTAGCCAATAAGGCACATAAGTAATACGGTATTTCTAGTAAATCAAGCGGTGTAAATCCAAGCAGTGAGATACTTTGTTTTGCCTCTTAAATTGGCAAAGATGAGGAACAAAAAAGAAAATATTCAGGGTTCGTGTGGGTTTAGGGAATATTGCCATTTCATTTACTATTGGGAGAAGGCAATAGGGTAATTGGAGATTTCTAGAGGTAAATTTGGCAATGCGGAAGACTTTGCCAAGTGCATATCCTTTGAAATCTTGAAGTCACTGTTCCACATCTTCTTACATCCATTGGTTGTTGATAAAAAGTCTAACGTCAATCTCATTCTGCTTTCTTGTTTTTATTTGTTTGCCTCTTCTAAAGCTTTTCTTGTTATTGACAGTTTTTGAATTTTCACTAAGATCTATATCTAGGTTGGATTTTCTTTTCATCTGTCTTGTCAGATCTTTGTAGGCTATTTCAAAGTTTGGGGTTTCACATCTTTCTTCATTCAGTTCTGAGAAATACCATTATTTCTGTGGATATTGCTTCCCTTCATTTTTCTCTACTCTCTCCTTCTGGAACTGCTATTCGACTGAGGTTGTAATGTCTGGATTTTGATCCTTTGTTCCCAACGTGTTTTTCATCCCTTCATTCACTCCTTCAGGAGAATCCCTGGAGCAGTTGATTAACTTGCTCTTTATGTTTGTCCTGGTATTCAACTTCTCTACTGAGTTTTTAAAAATTCATTTCAACAGTTAAAATTATTATTTCAAATATCTTTAGCCACTCTTGTCCTCGTTTTGTGCTTACCTTATCTTCCCTCATTTTTCTGGGCATTTATTTAAAATTTTCTGCTGCATACCTTGTTAGCTACATTTTCTGAGCTCTCTAAAGTTTGCTGTCTCTCTTTTATGGTGTTGGCCTTCTCCAGATGTTTGTTTAATCCTGTTCTTTGCTAATTTGTGTAGCTGAAATTCCCTGTAGAACATCAGCTGCACCTACTTCTTTTAAGAAGCACTTGGAAGGCAAGGATGGAAACTATTGGCCTAACTCTTGGCACTGCTTCCCGTGAGCCAGCCTTCATGGTGTGGATTTTCTCTTCCTCTTCCTCTCAGGTGTCAAGGCCCTTGAGAGTACCTCCCTCCTCTCTGAGCCAGGCCCCCCTCAATGCTGTTTCTACTCACAACACTTCTGACACCAAATGTGTGGGATTTTTTTTTCCTACCACATCAACCAATTCTCCAACTCTCTGGACACCAACTGCGTGTCCTACAATTCAGTTCAAATCTGACTGTAGAGTCAGCACATCCCCCAAAGGTGAAGGGCTCAGTCCCATAAGACTGCACCCCCACTTCAGAGGCCAATCCCAGATCCCAGGTTGCCCCCTGTACGTCTGACCAGCCAGCTGTAAATTAGAGTTCTTGTATCCCCTCCTCGGGTTCAATAATTTGCTAGCATGGCTCACGGAACTCAGGGACACCCTACTAATGTTTGCCAGTTTATCATAAATGATACTATAAAGGATACAAAGGAAGAGCCAGATTGAAGAGGTACATAGAGCGAGGTCTGGAAGATTCATAAGTGCATTCTGTTCCTGTGGAATTAGGGCTTGTCACCCTCTTGGCACATGGATGCTTTCACCAACCTGGATGCTCCCGTAACATTGTTATTTAAGGGCTTTTTTAATGGGAGGTTTCATCATGTAGGCATGATCAAATGACTCAATTTCTAGCTCCTCCCCAGAGTTTGGGAGGTGGGGCTGAAAGTTCCAAGCTCTTAGTCAAGATTAGGTCTTTCTGGCAACCAGTCCCCATCCTGAAGCTATCAGGGGGACCTGTGAGAGTTGCTTCATTAGAATAAATGGTGGTCCTGTCTCTCCTATCACCCACAAAATTCCAAGGGACTTAGGAGTCTCTGTGACATGAACTGGAGCAAAGACCAAATGTTATAACAAAAAGATGCTCCTATTACCCTGTCACTCAGAAAATGACCAGGGTTTTTGGAGATCTTTGCCAGGAACTGGAGGAAAAGAACAAGTATGTATTTCTTGTTCTATCATAATATCCCACTTCACAGAGGGCTCCATGACTGCTGACCGGCCTTGGCGGCTGGAGCAGTAGAACGGCTGCCCCAGCCTCCCTGTGGCTACTGCAGAACTTGGGCGCACTTCCTGGCTCCCACCTGCTATTCCCCCTCGTGCTTCCTGGACCACCTTTTCTCTGTTCAGTCAGGCACTCTCCCACCATGTAGTTAGTCCTCGATGTAGCCTCCTGCTTTTCAGGGGCACCATTTATTTAAACCTCATTCTATCACTTCTTGGCATTTGTTATGGGAAGAACACATGCTCAGTCCAACACTTTGAGATGGAATGCTATAAAAAACTGTATAACCTTCAACCTTCAAACCAGTAATTCCGCTTGTAGGAATTTATCCTAAGGAGGTAATTAAGAATAAAGCTTTAAGGGGCACCTGAATGGCTCAGTCAGTTGAGCATCGAACTCTCAATTTCAGCTCTAGGTTGTGATCTCGTGGGTCGTGAGATCGAGCCCTGCATCAGGCTCCATACTCATCGGGAAGTCTGCTTGAGATGCTCTCCCTCTCCCTCTGCCCCTCCCCTGCTGTCTCTCTCTCCCTCTCAAATAAATAAATAAATAAAATAATAATAAAGCTTTAAATGTAAGGCTTTTCAACCACAGTGACATTTATTATGAAAACAAATAACCAGCTAGAGGGGATTAAATAAATGATGACAGGGGGCGCCTGGCTGGCTCAGTCGTTACAGCATCCAGCTCTTGATCTTGGGGTCATGAGTTCAAGCCCCACTTAAAAAAAATTAAAAATAAATGGTGACGCATCCATATGATGGCAGACTAAGTGGGTGAAAACTAATATGGCAGAATATTGAATTGCATGGAACAATGTCATTGATGTATTGTTAAGTAAAAGTTTCAGGTTACAAAATTATTTTAAAATCTCGTTTTTGTTAAAAGAAAAAAATACACACAACAAGGGACACCTGGGTGGCTCAGTCAAGTGTCTGAGTCTCGGTCTCAGGGTCATGAGTTCAAGCCCCACCTCAGGCTCCACACTGGGCATGGAGCCTATATGTGTATATATATATATATATTTAAAATTTAAAAACCCCCCACACATGTTGTTTTGGAAAGGGTAATTCCACATGGTGAGATTGTGGTGATGTATTTCTTCTTTGTGGCTTTCCCCCCACACTCTGGGGAATTGTTTGCAGCATCTGTCATGTGTAAGACTCCAGTGCCATCCTCTGCTTCCTTCCCCAAGGTGCGCTGGAAGATGGACTGTCCTCCAGTGGTGTGCCCCGATCTACAGCCCCAGGTGGACTCTCCAACCCAGACAAGAAGATGAGCAGTGGGACCCAGTGCCCGAATCCCCAGAGCCTCAACTCAGGCCCTCTGACCCAGAAACAGAATGGCCTCCGGAGCACGGAGGTAGGTCACAGCCACAGAACCCACTTGGTTCTGGAGAAGAGGGGAGAAGCTTGCTTCGGAACAGGGCCATGCTGAGCTGGTACCCAAGGAAGGAGCAGTGACGCCTCACCTTACCACAGGGAGATTTTCCTATTCAACCCATGGGAAAACTGTTGCCAAGAAAATAGCACTCCCACCCCATCCCTGCCTCAAGGGTCGCTGTGTTTTGTTGAGTCAGCAGAAATGGGCCCTTGCTGTCTGCACTCTAAAGGAAGTGTGTGTTTGCTTAAATACAGCTTTGTTCCAGGCTCCCTTCAGCACAGCTCTCACCATCTTGACATTGAGGACTGTACTGGTCACAGGAACCAGTGTGGGGCCAGGCAGTGGGCAGGGCTCAGGGTGGTCAGGGAAGGAGAGAGAAAACCGGTGCGGTAGGAGTCAGGCTAGGCGTTTTTAACCTCGCGCCCTCCGCCCAGGTGGTCAGTGGGAGCGTCCTCAAGGGGGCTGTCATTGCCAGATGTGGTGGTAGCATCACCCTCAGACTGTTAGGGTTGAAGAAGAGGTAAGGCTGCGGCACCAGAGGCCGGCGGGCCTCCTTTCCAGTCTTTCCTTTCTCCCAGAGCTGCTGTGGGGAAGCGCTCCCCCTGCTGGCCCTAGCTCCTCCCTCGGGAAAGACTGCCCCTGGTTGGCCCACCAGGGGTCCGCCTCCTCCTCCCACTCCCTCCCCCACTTCCTCATCCGCACCAGCCCCGCCCCACCACCACCAAGGTCTACTGCTTCTCTGATGCTGATTTTCCAAACACATGTCCCCAACTCTCCCCTGTCAAAATTTACTGGTCTTGTCCCCTCAGGCCACTGCCACCTGTTTCCTGACGCTCCGGCTGGTTCTTTAATGATGGAATTCTTGCTCACTTGAGTGAGTTACCACCCTAACCCTGGTTAGAAAACCTGTTGCAAATTCAGCTCTAACGCTTGTTAACTAAGTGGCCTGGCAGGGACCACTTAATCTCTCAGAGTCTCGGGCTCCTTATGCACACAATGGAAATAATAGCCCAGTGAGAGAACAGATGGGCCTGTTCTGTGTAAACGGAGAAGTGTTGTAAGTCAGGCAGTGGGGATTAGCAGGGGGTGGTTAGGCCCACAGCACCCAACAGGATGGAATCAAGCACTGACGTGGCTCTTCAGACTCGGAAGAAAGACATGGAGGGGGAGGGGATTGACTTGAACTTGAGGGTGACCCTCCTAGGGTCCTGGACTGCCTACTTGGCCTGTGCATGAGCTGGCCTTCTAGAGACCTAAGCATCATTGCCTCCCCCAAGGGTAGGCCCCACAGAGCTAGGCTCAAAACCTGGGAGACTGCTTTAGTGCAGGGCTTGACACCTGTACCCGAGCCTCCTCCCCACGTGTGTGCCCCCCCTTCAAGTCAGGCTGGGTCGTGGGGGACAGAAAGCAGCTCTGCCTGGTGTGTGGCGTGATCCACACACACTGGCGTCCTGCCCCCCATCATTCGTCCCTTGAAAATTGTGCTCTGCAATTTGCAAAGTGCTTTTAGGTCTGCTGGGGCATTAAATCCTCCCAGGTGCACTGTAAAGTAAGCTTCGTCCCCAATTTATAGAAAAGGAAACTGATTCATTGGACTTAGGACATGAGTCGTCATGAGTCATTCATGTAAGTGCTGGAGGTGGGTACCAGGGACTGGAACTTGAAACAGGCAACTGTTATAAAGATGGAGCATAGAGACGTGGACAGACTTTTTGACTGAAGAATAAGGTATTAGTCCTTTATGGCCACAGTAATGCTGCACACCAAAGCACACCAGTGTTTAGTGGCCTCGAACAATCTTATTTTTCCTGCCACAATCAGCTGTGAGTTGAGTGGCTAGGCCTGACTTCGGCACCAGGCTCCGCATGTAGTTCAGGCTGTTGCATGTATATTATTTTGGGAATCAGCCCAGAAAAGCAGCATCTCTGGGGCATATCTTCTCACAACTGTGGTAGAAACCCAAGAGGGCAAAACCAAACTACAGGAACACATTTCACGTCTCTGCTCACATCCTGCCAGCTAACCTCCTCTTGGCCCAAGCAGGTCACATGGACAAGCCCCCCATCAGGAGGGCAAGGAAGTCCTGACTGGAGAGACAGCAAAGGATTGATTAAGGACAGTCACGCTGTCTACCACATGGAACGTACATTCAGAAAAACGCCCAAGTCAGTCCTAAGCGCAATGAATCTTTACAAGGCGACACAATGAAATCTTTAGAAGGCGGCACACCCACATAATCATTAGCCACATGAAGCCCAGAACACTTTCCATACCCCAGAAATGTCCCTTGTGCCCCTCACCGTGGTGACTGGGACGTGCCAGTCACTGCCCACCTCTGCAGACTAACCACTCTTCTGACATCTAGCATTCTAGGCCAGTGTGGTTTGTTTTGTAGACGTTTATAGATGGTGTCACGTGGTGTGTGCTCTTTTGTGCTTGGCTGCTTGTGTCCAACGTCAGGCCAGTGAGACTCATCTGTGTGGTTGTGAGTTGCATAGATTTGCTCATTTTCATTGTTACGTCTGTTCCATTATGTGAATGTAACCTTATACCCCCTGAAGGATGTTTGGGTCGTTTCTGGCCGGGCCATGGTGAACAATACAGCTGCTGACGTCCGTGGACATGCCTGCTGGTGGACGTTCATTTCTTTTCAATATATTCCTAGGAGTAGAATTCCTGGCTCATGGGATGGGGATATATGCGACTTTTAGAGATACTGACAAATTGTTTTCCGCGCTAACCAGCTTTACACGCTAACCAGCTGCGGATGAATTCCAGTTGTAGAACGTAAGAATTTAAAGCCAGGAAGTTGGGGCACCTGGGTGGCTCAGTCGGTTAAGCGACCAACTCTTGATTTTGGCTCAGGTAATGATCTCAGAGTCTTAGGATCGAGCCCCATGTCCGAGCTCAGTGGGGAGACTGCTTGTCCCACTCCTGTCCTCCCTTGCACAGGCACTCTCTCTCTCTGTCTCTCAAATAAATACATAAAATCTTTAAAAAAAAAAAAATAAAGCCAATGAGTTGTGCTTAGTCTTTCTTAGGCCTGTGACAGCAGCCTTGCAGGCAGGCTGAGGATGCTAAGCACTTTGTTACAGTGTCTCACCGAATCCTCACGACAGCTGTAAAACACTGATATTGTCCCCAGCTGACAGATGAGGATGGAGACTTGGAGATAGCCGGGAAGCAGTCCCCCCCACACCCCAACACACACACACGGAGGACACCAACTCCTACCCTCCCTGGCCCAGTGGCAGGGGACATGAGGAGCTGTCCCACCAATACAGCCCTAGGAGCGGTGGCCCCGTTGATCGGCCATCCACACAGGTGGTTTTCGCAGTCCAGTGAGCTATGGCTGCCTCGCAGCCACTTCCTAAACAAGATCAGGGAGCAGGTGCTTCGGTCCCAGTGTTCGGACAGGTGCTGAAGTGCCTCAGTGATCTTTGTGTCCTGGGGTCTACCAGCCACCAGGCGTCTTGTGTCCCCAGAAGCCATGGCACAGGTTTCCTATTCACAGTGGGCTTTACGAGCCAAGCTTACCTCTCCCTGAAGCTCCTGTCAGCAGAGCTATCTCGTCCCTACACAGCTCTCAGCGGTGAATCTGCTCAGGGAAAATCGTTTGCTTCCTAAATGCTCCAGGGCCTTCGATGGACCACCTCTTCCGCGCTGCCCACCTGCACCCTGGGCTACAGCTTCCTGCATTTTCGGTGACCAGTGACCAGCTCGGGCAGTAGCCACTCTCCCCTTCCCTCCTCCTCTGCTCCCCCAAGACAACATCCTGCCGTTCCACAGCGCTCTCCTGTGCTGCATCCAGCCCCGGGCTGACGGGCTTTGAGCATTTTATTTTTTAAAAATTTTATTTATTCATTTGACCCAAAGAGAGAGAGATCACAAGTAGGCAGAGAGGCAGGCAGAGAGAGAGAGGGGGGAAGCAGACTCCCTGCTGAGCAGAGAGCCCAATGTGGGGCTCGATCCCAGGACCCTGAGGTCATGACCTGAGCTGAAGGCAGAGGCCTTAATCCACTGAGACCCCCAGGTGCCCCTAGGCTTTGGGCATTTTTAAAGAGCTTTCTTTCTCCAGAAGAACCGTTCACGAAGTAGGCATCTCTAGGTACCTGTCTGCATCCCCATGGACAGAACAAGCCTGTGTGCCGAGGCAGTCCTTGTGAGGCCTGGACAACGTTCTGCTCGGGTCCTATAAGCACTCCTTGGATGCGTTCGTGTCATGTTCTTCCCTGGAGTGCCATCGAGGTGCCAGGCAGGGTTCTGATGCCAAGGATCCGGGAGTGGAAAAGGAACACGTGTCCTGTGTGCTGAAGCGGCTGCCAGGTTTAGTGGGGGTGAGGCTGGGGCGTCAGATAATACAGGGTAAATGAACACAGGCTTCCCCGATTTGAGGTAGTGCTATTTATTTCAAGGAAATGAAAGGTCACATAGAGGGCATAGCAACTCCTCCCTTTCATAGAGACGCCTCCCCATAGTTTGGATTGCTTTCTGGAGGGTTCTGGGGACAGCTGAGGAATGGCTGTGAGCAGCAGCGTCTCCTGTTCTGAGCCCCTCTGCACCTCATGCCCCACCAGACAAACCATAGCTTCCTTCTTTCAGTTCCCTCGGCCCCTGTCTTCTGCTGGCTTGAACAGGTGCTAACTAGTGAAAGGAAGGTGACAATAACGATATTGTACAAACTGGAGCTGCCTCGATGGAGATGGTGTCTTGATTTCTCTGCTGTATCTTGATTTCCTCCAGTCACTTGGGGCCTTCCAGCAGCTCAGCACCTGAGCAATCCCTGCCTGGGTCTCCTTCCCCCAGCCTCTTCCCTGAGCTTGACAAAAACCCAGGAGGCAGTCCTACAGCCGCTGTTCTGTCTGGCTAATTCGTCATTCAGGAGCTCCGGGCTGCCTCCAGACCCTTGCTCTCCAATCTGAGTGTGCCGCTCCCTCAGCCCTAGGACTCCTGTTTTTCTCCCCAGAACTAGAACAAGT